TTCTTTTTTTTTTTTTGCTGGTAATGCAGTGGTGGGTTGCAGGCGGTATGTACTAGTACGGGCGTACCTGAGCCTGCTTGGAGCACCAGATACCATTCTGGTATTGTGCTCTGGAGGGCCTGCCCATGGGCCCGAGTTCCTTACTGGTTTTTTAAGTCTTCAGAGCTTCCGTGCACGTGGGCGATGCTCCGCTGAGCAGCTAGAGCATGGTGGAGGCTCGTGAAGGTGCTAAGATGCATGCGCGCATTGCACGTTCCAATGGGCACTGGGCCTGTTCCAACGGTACCGGTTGGAACGGGATCTGGAACCCACCACTGTGGCAATAGCATGGTTTACAACTTCAATTTCTAAACAAGTGCTGACTTTCTCTCAAAGAGCAATTCATCTTTATATACATTTTTTTCCTCTGCTACTCTAAGGGTATTTCTTTGCAAACTACAATGGACATTTGCTGCTTATATGCTTGCCTTCAAATAATTATTCAAATTTCTCTTCTTTTTTCTTCAATTGTCTACTTTACCTGCAGTAAAGCAAGGGCTCCAATGTTTTAGTGCTAAATATTGTTAATCAATATCATTCCATGGATTCAGCATTCCATAAATGCACTGTCATCAGTTTTTCTCATCTAAATAATTTAATTTATTTACAAATGTGTCCAATTTACCCTACCAGCAGCATACTTGCTTCGCCCATCAGTTTATGACTTGTATTTCCAGAATTTAATTTTGAATTTAGAAATTGTTATATCATTATTATCATCCTTACATTAGGGTATTATTTATTTCACTTTTATCCCACATTTATTTCTGTTTACAACTACAGTAACTCAAGGCGGCAAACAAACTAATATTCCTTCTTCCTCCTATTTCCCCCCAATAATAACCATGAAATAGACGGACTGTTCCAAAGTCACCCAGCCAGCTTTCATGCATAAGGTGGGTCTAAAACTCACAGTCTCCTCGTTCCCAAGCTAGCATTTTAAGCACTAGAACAAACTGGAGGTAGGCAATTAAAAAATGTGAAAAATAATAAAGATAAATGCTATGTAGGCTCTGTATAGCAGAACCATAATAAAAAAGCATCTTACTTATAAAGTTGTCTTCCTCCTGGAGTATTATTAAATTCATTACTAATAAAGTATCTGTGAAATAAGCAAATGGATTATAGATGGATTAATACATCATCTTAATAATCATTTAGATTATTGTAACAAAAATTTCCTAGGACAATAATACAGAAGTTCAATTCTACATGAGTCTCTAAACTGGGAAAGACATTATGCTACCACAAAAAATGGAAAGTATCTCATTATACAGATAAAGAAGAACATTTATTGTAATGTGAATTTTTAATCTTATAAGTTACTCAAAGTTGTTGGGCAGCGATATAAATGTGTTAAATAAGGGAGAAACAAGTGCAATTATTACTTAATAGACAACTGCCAGCATAGATCTCTACTTCTGAATATCCATTTTCCCCCTGAATATGCAGAATACTTTTAGAGAATATATTATGTATTTAGAAGCTATAATAAATAAATATTAAATCATAGGAATGTATTCAACAATTCTAATATGCTTTCTGTGGAACATCTCATCATGAGAAAATATAATAGGTGACTGACTTGTAGGAAACAAATTGGTGAAACATTCCAGGATTTATTTCTTAAGTAACTACAATCTGTTGTTGACTTTGTTTAGATTTGTATGCAATGGGGGGGGGGGGTAGCATGTTTATACTACATTATTCCACTTTATTCTTGCTTTGTATTACATCTACAGATTTTATATGTGTGTGCTTCTGTGTATATTTGTTATTCTTATTTGATGATGCAGTGTTGCATTTTCTGATTGCATTTCAATAAAGATAAAGTATTAACAGTGGGTCCTATGTAAAGAAAGCAGACATTGGGGGAAAGAGAATGGTATTTTCATAATCAAGGATAGAAGACAATGTACCTCAGCGCTATTCTATTGTAGAATATTACTCATTGAGCACGGATTATTTTGACAGATAGGCTCCCAGTTCAACTAAAATTAGTGGCACTTGGGTCTTACTGAAATCTTAAAAGCTTAAATTAGTAATGATTAACTTGTCACATAGAATCCAGTGGGATGTAAAAATAAAAACGTGCCTTAATGAGATTGGAATAGAAGATTTATATCTCAAAAATCATGAGATTTTGGCTTAACAAGAAGACATAAATGAAAGAAAAGGAAAGTCAGCACACTCAGTATAAAAGGCAAGGGAGCATAACATTGCCATGCAAAATTTCTTATGCTAAGCTTTCATTCAGTCTCAATTCTAATACAACAGACAAAAGCAGGACAAACAGAAAAGGCTATCTCTAAAAAGGAATGAGTTAGGTATCTGCCACACACATATTCGAAAGTTATCAATGGATACTCACAGGGTTTTATCTGTTAGAGCAGCTATATCGATTACTTCCCATTTTCCACTTGTAATAGGTTTAACGTTCTAAGTATAAAGATGAGTTAAAATATGAATCTCCGTAAATATGTTACACATTCATACACAAAACAATTGTCATGGTTCCAAATAACAGCAATAGCAATAACCCTTAGACTTATATACTGCTTTACAGTGCTTTTACAGCCCTCTCTAAGCAGTTTTAAGAGTCAGCGTATTGCCCCCAACAATCTGGGTCCTTATTTTACTTACCTTGGAAGGCTGAGTCAACCTTGCGCTGGTGAGATTTGAACTGCTGAACTGCAGCTAGCAGTCAGCTGAAGTAGCTTGTAGTACTGCACTCTAACCACTGTGCCACCTCAGCTCTTTTTAATGATCCCAATCACGTCAGAACCCTGAGACTGGAACTCTTCTCGAAGATTCTCTTTATTGAGTACATCATACTGGCACATTAAAATGTGAAGCCAATTCTAAATATTTCCTGTGGTTCAGTACAGTGGTGTATTTCAATTTATTTTACTACCGGTTCGCTCGTGTGCATGTGTGCGCTCATGTGACGCTTCTGTGCAGAAGTGTCCAGGTGGGAGGGTGGAGCCTCCTGCCACCGCCACTACTGGTTCATCCGATCCAGGGTGAACCGGCAGAAACCTACCTCTGGTTCAGTATAATTAAGAGAACATGATTCCCTCCCCCCAAGTGTCACAGGTCACATTGCCCAACTGGATAAATGGAAAATTCTTCAGACAGTCCCCTCCTTTCTTGCTCAGTATTTGTTGAGATGGCCTTGGCTCTACCAGCCTCTGCCTGTGTTATGACTCTAGCACATTGTAGAGTGCTTCAGCCAGAGTCGTTTCAAAATTTGTCTGCAGCAAACTCTGATAACTCAAAAATGATAATATGTAAGTAAACACATTATCACAAAAAATGCTCTCATTATGTCTTATGCAAGAACATAAGCCATGGCACTGAGTAATGACATCATACAGGTGTCAATATTTGCCTCTCTTTGTCCTTCCTTATGAACAACCCTGCACAAATATAAAGAAACATGCACAAATACTCATTACTTACGCCTGCATTATCAATGTAGTGAATATGTTTATATCCTTGTGAATCACTCATAATTTTGTAGTAGCTAATTTTGTCAGAAGCGAAGTAAGGTTCCGATGGCTGAAACTGTGAAAAAGAACAATAAAATGGTTATAGGTATAATGGTAAGTAAGTATTCTATTTCATAGGTTTATTAATTTTAACCACTCACAGAAATACATTGACTATTGCATTTTTGTTTAGGGATTATTATTATTTTTATTTCCCAAAGGTCACATTATTCCTAATGTTTTCAAAATGAATGAAACAAAAGCCATAGGTTTCTACTGTGGCATCGGCTGTTTTTACTTCAACATGAACATCAGTGAATTGCAATTACTTGGCTCTTTGACAATTCATTTTTCTGTACTGTTTATTTTCTTTTGTTGTTTTTGTAATATAAGAAATGGAAGGTAATTAATTAAAAAGGAAATCATAATGTAAGATTTGTTGACATTTAGACTTTGGAATATTTACAAAGCAATAAATAGTTTGAAGGAAGCAAAGAGAGGCCAACCCTCTAGCTCTGCCCAGTTTTGTGCTCTCAAATTCTGATACCTTAAAGTTCACAACCACTGAAATTTAACCAAAACATTCAGTTCAACTGTTTTATATTGAGTACGTTTACTTATGTTACTCTGCTGAGAACACTGGCTTGTCCAGTAGCTCTTCTGTAAACTGAATATATCATTGATTTAATACTATTCTGCTATTCCGTACATTCAACAGAAATCTTGGAGGGTTGCATCAGTGATCTTCAGCCCTTTTTGGCAGAAGACCTAGTTGTTCAATATTTTTATATCTGTACTACACAAAGAAATAGTCACTTTTTCTAATTTTAAAATTGTTGCTGTTATTGGTACTGTCAATCACTAATTATATTTATTAATGTTAGCTTTAAAGTCAACTTTTCTAAATAGCATATTAACAAATCTCAAGGAAATGAATTTGTTATTCATAGAAACCTAATTTTTTGAAAAAAGAAATTATATTTGAAGTGGCATAAATGAGCCTATATGAAAGGATTTCAAACTTCCTCACCCAGGAATCTTAGAAAACGTCAAAAAGATCCTGCCAGAAGTCTTTTGCCTCACAGTTACCAGTATTACCATCTATCTTCCAAAAGGTCCTTCACCTGTTACTCCCCTAACCATGATCTCTGAAGATTAGATTCCCATTGTCTTACAGCAGGGCTGTCAAACTCGCGGCCCATGGCCCAGATGCATCACATGTTGGCCATGCCCACACCCAGTTTAGCGAAGGAGAAAAAACTTGTGATACATCATGTGATGACCCGAGTTTGACACCACTGTCTTACAGCCTTCTGATAAGTAAAAAGTAAAAAAATTCTATAATGCAACATAAAATGCTTTGTAGCATAAAGACATGATTAGGGTTTAGTCTTTTCCCTCCAATTTAGAAGACAGTTCCAATTACAAATATATAAATTTGAATAATAATAAATGAATATATGAACAACAAAATCACACTGAATTTTAAAAAAATGTCTCAAAAATATTTTTTTATCTCAGCAATAGGAAGATTTTCAAGTTACATATGAGCTCCTAAGAAATTAACAAAGAAAAAAAATCTTCAACTCAATCTGATATTGTACAAAATGTCCACAAAAATGGAAGTAAAAGAGAATACATCTTTTAATACAGAAAGACAAAAGAAATTAAATTCGAATGCAATATCTATTGAGGGCAGTTCCCTATTTCGAAGAAATAACTTGAATCCTGAAATGAAGTCCCATTATCTTATCCTTACACAGCCCCCACTTCTTAAGGTAATTCTGGCTGTTAATCAAAATATTCAAACTCACACATTCTTTGGCATTCAGAGTGGCGTGCTAGATGGCTGTTCAAAACAATATTAAAATAGTTTCTCCCTTATTTTTCATTGAGATGAAGACCTTTTTCTGCTTTCTTTTTAAAAAAGATTATGAACTGCACTTAAACTGTCTCAAAAAAAATACGAATTGGGGAAATTAGTGCTAACTACAATCACTGCCATCTTCTTGTTCTATCAGAGGTGTAAATAAACTTCTCAATTGAAACTGGTTTTGTATTTGTCATCCTTTTGACACATCTATATCCCGTAGCTTGAATGGCTTAATCATCCGTAAGGAATCTTCAAATTGATTAGCACACCAACTTGAGTCAATGTGTCAATTCTTAGAGCAGGAGTGTCAAACTCAAGGCCCAGGGCTGGATTCGGCCCATGGGATGCTTAGATCTGGAAACGGTGAAGGACCAGTCCGTGCCTCTGCCAGCAATAATGGAGCTTGGGAGGGTTGCATGTGCCCTTCCTGAGCTCTGTTTTTGCTGACAGAGGGTTGCAGGAGGCCATCGCAGCCGAAATGGAGCTTAGGAGCCCATTTTTGCTGGCAGAGTGCTCAGTCCATCACACCCACCCTGGCCACACCCACCCCGGCCCCCCAAGGTCCAACACCAACTTGATGTGGCCTTAAATGAAATTGAGTTTGACACCCCTGTCTTAGAGCATGTAAGTAACCTTCAAGTGCATCTATGTCAGCAGTTTTAAGTTTGTCTTTGAGAAAACTTTTAGGAATTGACAGATTTTTTTTCTGGAAGATATTTTGCCTGAGGAAAGCTATTTTGTTGATAAATGCAGAGAACATTTTTGCAATCAGTGTCACTATCTTACTTGAAGTTACTTGAATTTAAATTACTTGAATTTAATCTCATTAAATATTCCAACTGAGTAAAAACCATCTTTTTTCACGCTTCATAATTTACTGCAGACAACAAATTTATTTCAGTACAGTAGAACTCTAATACCCCATTTGAATAATTCCACAAAACATGTCAAGCAATTACCTTTAAAAAGCCATTAACATCCTCATAAAATCACCAGTGAACAAATTGCTCACTGTTATCTTATCAGAGCTGTTGGAACAATAGTTCATTCTTGGAATTGAGTTTGTTCTTATTTATTGCATTCAACAACAATTTAGAGTGTCATATACACTTAATCTTAAAAAACTTGGTAAAGAGATGAATTACAACTGAATAAAAAAAATCTTTTGGAAGGTCTTTCTTCAAAAATGCCATACTATTATTGTTGTAATACATCTATCAATAATCAGCTAGGAGGAAACAAAATATGTATTTGTGTTTTTGTCTTTTTTAATGCACATTTTTAAATGTTTTGTTTTGTTTTTCTAAATTTTTTTTGAAGTTTTTACTTGTAAAGAATAAGCATTCTAGCACCATTTCCACCAGCTGGCTAGTATTGATGGGAGTTGGAGATGTAGCTGAACAACACAAAGAGATCCATGTCCATCCAAATTATTTTATCGCTGGCTGTACCCATTTTTTATTCTATCCCAATCAAATTTTCAGGGACATTTAAAACAAGGGATATTTCAGGTAATGTGTTTTATACAGTAATAAGATACGTTGTATTTTCTTGATGTAACTGACTTATCTGAGCATATATAAATTATAGTGGAACAAGCATGACAATAATAATGTTAACCTATTTTTTCCTATTTCTATAGTAGATTTATACTCCTCCTTTTTTTCCTTTCCTTTCCGTTTGCTTCACTGTTCACACCATACACAATCTGCTTATCACGTTGCTTCCTGAGATTTTATCGTGAAGAGCTAAAATGTGTTAGTTATATTAAGGTCTTTCTTTTCTGATCAGGTTTGACAGCAGAAGATACTAACTTCCATTATTTTGCAGGGTGGGTCTATATTTGATGCTTTTAAAAAACATGATTCTTTTAAGCAAATGATAATTGGGGGAGGGGAAGCATTATTCCTACATATAGATTTAGTAATGTTATTGTACAGCTCCTTGTTCCTATAAACTTGTTCTCCTTTTAGAGGCAGAACCTGGCAATCTACTGACCATACAATATTCATTTTACAGCCCTGATTTATAACTATTTGTTTACAACAGCACTGAAATAAGTGACTTATAACCATTGCAGCATCCCCATGATAACAATATCAAAATTCAGGTGCTTGGCAACTGGCATGTATCTTTGATGGTTGCACTGTCCCAATGACATTGGATCACCATCTGTAACTTTCCCAACTGGTTTCTGACAAGCAAAGTCAATGGGGGAAACCATAATTGATCCCAAAGTTTCTGTTGCTAGGCAAGACAGTTGTTAAGTAAGTTTTGTCCCATTTTATAACTTTTCTTGCCACAGTTGTTAAGTTAATCACTGCATTGTTAACTTAGTAATATGGCTGTTGGGTAAATCCGGCTTCCCCATTGACTTCATTTGTCAGAAAGGTGATCACAAGGCAGTTGCTAAGCATCCACATTTTGATCACATGACTATGGGGATGTTGCAATGATTATCAGCATGGAAAATTTTCAAAAGGCACTTTTTTAGTGCTGTTATAACTTCAAATGATCACTAAACAAATGTTTGTAAGCCGAGGATACCTCTATGTCCCCAAAATGTGAACAACTGCTAGTTGTAGGCATTAGATATGAAAACATTAGGTTCCACTTAATATAAGTAAAGGTAAAGATTCCCTTCATACATATGTGCTAGTCTTTCCCAACTCTAGGGGTGCTGCTCATCTCCATTTCAAAGCCGAAGAGCCAGCGCTTTCCAAAGACGTCTCCGTGGTCATGTGGCCAGCATGACTAAATGCCAAAAGTGCATGGAACGCTGTTACCTTCCCCCCAAGGTGATCCCTATTTTTCTACTTGCATTTTTACATGCTTTCAAACTGCTAGGTTGGCAGAAGCTGGGACAAGTAACGGGAGCTCACTCTGTTACGCGGTGCTAGAGATTCGAACCGCTGAACTGCCGACCTTTCTGATCTACAAGTTCAGCATCTTAGCCACTACTTTTTAACTTAATATGCCAACCACAAAAAGATAATCTTAAAGATGAAATCAGAAATATCAATGTTTGCTGAATCCACACAAATTGCCAATGTCAGGATGAATAGCCAAATCAGCAAATAATAATTTACATTAATTTCATTAACACGAAGTCCTAGCAATAGTTCCATTCTTCTAAAGATAAATGGATATGATGATATCCCACAAAAAATAAAGTTGCTATCAAGTTTCATCTTTTTGAGTCCTCTTGTAATAACTGATTAAAACTACTTATAATGTGACAACTCCTTGCACAACGTTTGGTTCTTTGACTACTGTTTGAAGAGAATGAGAAAAGACTGCAATGACATTATATATCACACATCCTTTTTAAAAATTAGGGATTGCAAGACAGAAATGTGAGAGAGATGTGGGTTCCATATGACCTGCAAAATATAACAAAGACTATAACGAAGACTTGGTTACAGGGTTAATTAAAAAGTTGAGAAGTCAGTGTATTTCACACATCAGGGGGTGGGAGTATAATTGCAATTCCAAATGGCCTTGAAAAAAATCCTCAACATTCCACATGGGAAAAAAAGTTATTAAGAGCTAACTTTGTGTCTATATAGTAAACTATACATTACAAAATAATAACATACAGTATTGTTCAGATTGTTTATTGGCCCAGTGCTTTTAAGAAGCAACATGGAAATAGAAGGTCTAATTGTATTCAACCAATTGTTTTTCCTGCCCTGAAACCCACATATACACATGCTAACAAATATTTATAACACTGTTCCAAGCTTGTCTTTATCTTACTAATATGGGGCTAGAATCTGGCAAGGAAGGAAAGAATATAGATGCTTCTGATAGAAAACAGCTGCCGGGTACAATGAAATGCTTCATTTCCTCACTGTAAGATATCTCTTTAGCTATGCTCCCTCTGTAGGAACGGATGCTTGGCTGCCATGCAACATATAAGTTGATCCTTAAATCACTGTACTTACTCTGCCAACCCAGCCAGTTTTACTTTCTTCACGACGCTCCTGAGGAAAAAGAGAAAGATCTTCATTGTTTTAGTAATCTCTGTCTGTTAATCTAGCTCTTCTCTCTTTCAAGATTAATATCAATATTTACAAAATTTTCTGCAAATAGATGGCTTTTTTATTGATTGATTGATTCACTACCCCACTCCCAAGACTTAGGGAATTACAATACCCAAACAAAAACATGCATATAAGTACGTAAAACCTATCCAAATAAATATCAGCAGCCCAATCATCTTAAATTTATTAAAAACAACATTATAAAAGGCAATGCCTATTTTAAACATACCCGTTAGTTTTGCATGACCCATTAGGTATATGAAAGAGGCAGTCCTTTTAGTAGACAGGAAACAAGCTATGTTTTTTAAATAGCAATAGCACTTAGACTTATATACTGCTTCACAGTGCTTTACAGTCCTCCTAAGTGGTTTACAGAGTCAGCATTATGCCCCCAACAATCTCGGTCCTCATTTTACCTACTTTGGAAGGATGGAAGGCTGAGTCAACCTTAAGCCAGTGAGAACTGAACTGCCAAATTACAGTCAGCCAGCAGTCAGTAGTAGTTGCCTGCACTACCACATTCTGACCACTGTGCCACCATGAATACAGAAACCAGCATTCTGAATTCAACTCAGAAACCTATTCATATCCAATGAAACAACCAGAGAATCAGGATTATAGCAGGTGCTTACCTGCTAATATCTTGGCCATTACATTTTGTACCAAACACAGTTTCCAAGTAGTTTTCAAAATAAGGCCCATGCAGGGCATGATACAGAGTCTAGGGGATGAGGGTGAACATCTTTGCTGCCAGGTCTTATTTATAGTGCCGGGTTGAACCATGGGGGTCCTGATAATTTCTGACCTTGATTGTTTTCTTGCAGGTATTTCATTAGTAAGGAGCATCATCAAGTAGTAACAGTGATGTTAACTAGTTGGGTAATGAAACATGTGCAAGAAAACAATGAAGCTCAGAGAGGACTCCACAAATCTGCCTCTCCCGTTCCCAAGTCACGTTTTCCCAAGCATCTCTCCACCAACTCCATTATTTACCCCACCTACCATTCATTCCCTATTAACAAAAAAGGATATAATTGTTTGCTTGCACTGTCAAGCTAATCTTCACCCTTCAACCTCTACAACCTCTAAGAGCTGCAGTGGTACAGTGGTTTGAATGTAGTACTTCAGGCCACTTCTGCTGTCTGCCAGCAGTTTAGTAGTTCGAGTCTTATCCGGCTCAAGGTTGACTCAGCCTTCCATCCTTCTGAGGTTGGTAAAATGAGGACCCAGATTGTTGAGGGAAATAGGCTGACTCTATAAAACATTTAGGGAGGGCTGGAAAGCACTATGAAGCGCTATATGAGTCTACGTTCTATTGCTATTGTTACAATCCAACTTCACTCATACCTTTGGGCACTGCCATTTATCACTAGAGTAATCACAGATGGTGAGCATAGAAAAGTTTTGAATCCTGTTAAGCCACTGCAGACAAAGTATTTCATCAGTCACCCATGTTACAACACTCAAGTAGTGATCCCTGGAGATAAAGAGATAAAGATAAAGATAAAGAGATAGAGATAGAATTAGAAAGATAGATAGATAGATAGATAGATAGAGAGAGAGAGACTATATTAATATTTGTACATTTGTTTTTATGTTTGAAAAATATGTTCAAATATAGAAGCTGATATGGCTCATCCTGGCATATAATATCCTTTATATTTTATAACATATAATAAACTACTCAAATAATTCAGCTTATATATTTCTCTTCACATATTCAAGTTTTGTCACTAGGATATAAAAAAAACTTTTACAGTGTTTTAGTTTGGACAATTAATTATGTGTATATCCTATTATTTGCCCTCCAGAATCTTCTTGGACTTGGGCAGTTTTAATAAATATGATTAAAAAAAAAAGAATGATCCAGCTGAGTACACATTGAAAAAAAAATCCAGTATTTATAAATGAAGTCTCCACAGGATTTTTAATGTAATAAATGAATGTTTTTAAAAATCTTATTAATAATTATAAAATAATTACAATAATAATCTACAACATTCACCAGAACAAAGTATATTACTTGGACTTACCCTGATGTTATACTAGATGGTGCAACAATTTCTGAGATATTTTTTGTGGAAAGGGCTTCAATATTGACAACAAATAGTTTTATTGTTGGATTTATAGCACCTGCCTGGATAAAATTAAAACATATTAAAACAGATTCTGTCCAAATGGCAATGCTAATTAGAAAATTACAAAGGCTTAGCTTTTAAAGCTCAACATGAAATGTAAGAAAAAATTGTTTATATATATATTTTAAATTAATTTGTGTTTTATAGAGGTTCATAGCTAAAAATTTGAAGGCCAGTACTAAACATAATGTAATTTTTCTACATTAGTAAAAGCAGCCAATTCAGGATACATTATGACCACCCATATTTTGTGAATGATTATTCTTTTAGAGATCAATGTAACATTAACTCCTAATCACATGACATAGTGAAAATTTCTATTATAGAAAATGATTTTCTATTTTCAGATTAAGACTAAAAACACTAAACATACCCCTCAAAATAAATTAGAATTTCATACATTAGTCGTAGTCCATTATTAATTTAATCTCTGAAAATGAGCCTAGCTTTGAACTATTAATATGTTTAATCTAATTTAGATTGCTGCCCATCTCACAGATATTTAAAACTGTTAATATTCAATTATTAAAAAGCATTTTTAAAAAGCTACATGAACAGTGCTAAAACAAAGAATATATACAACGGGTGTTAATGGAGCCACCTCACTGGTTCACCTGTCCCTGTGGGGATTCCCAGGCATGCTGGCATAAAAAGGCTTTGAGGGAACTTTGGAAGCTGATAAGAGCTTCAGTGGGGAGAACATCCTCAATGTAGGCACCACACAAAGGAGGAACCGTCATCCTCCTATGTCAGAGAACATGCAAAAGAACAACTGATGTATCTGTTCCATACCCAGGTCCATAATCTGACTGAAAAGGATCCAGATAATCTGCTTAATCCATGGTCCTTAAAGGTAAAGGTTCCCCTCGCACATATGTGCTAGTCATTCCCGACTTTAGGGAGTCCGTTTCAAAGGCGAAGAGCCAGCGCTGTCTGAAGATGTCCCCGTGGTCATGTGTCATGACTAATGGCCGAAGGTGCACAGAACGCTGTTGCCTTCCCACCAAAGGTGGTCCCTATTTTTCTACTTGCATTTTTACCTGCTTTTGAACTGCTAGGTTGCCAGAAGCTGGGACAAGTAATGGGAGCTCACTCCGTTACACGGCGCTAGGGATTTGAACCGCTGAACTGCTGACCTTTCTGATCGAAAAGCCCAGGGTCTTAACCACTGAGCCACTGTGTCCCATGGTCCTTTAAAGATCCTTTGAAGATGCTGCACAACCACCTTCTTAATCACCCTCCTCAAAAAGAATACACTGAGCAAAAATTGTCCAGTATTAAGAGGTCCAATGATGGGGTCTTGAAGAGGTGGTGGATAAAGCTTCCTTAACAGGCAAAGGAAAAAACCTCCTCACTCAAAGAAGAATTCACCACCACTAAAATTCACTCACATGCCATACCCCAGGAGGTGGCTTAGATCTAAAGAGAATGTGGCTTAGCTCACGTCTCTGTCTACTTCCTCAGCTCCAACAGGCTCAAACCATTCCCAGATAACTGGGCAAGATTTAACTCTAGGCATCTCCTCTGGTCCTTCAATAAGGCCAGTGTCAAACTGCAAGTGAATCTAAAATGCTGAGCCATTTCCTTCACACATCCTTGACAAAGTTTCCTAGCACCCCCTTACACAGGAGGTGAAATAGGGCTGCATATGACAATCTGCGGATGCAATAAGAGTGGGAAAATATTGCTGCTTTGCCATCGTAGTGCCACAAGGCCTTAAAAGTGATTCTAGCCCATATTCAATCAAGCTCCTTCTTTGTTGAATTTAGTGGCACGCTATTTATGAGTACACAACCCCCAGTCCATGGCATTCCAACAACCTGCCCATCTGTGTGATGCAGGCAACACACAAAACTGTGCCCCCTCCAGTTTGAGGAAAAACCTTTCTCCACGGAAACAATCCCTGGTGCCCAAAAGGTTGGGGCCTGCTGCTCTAGATGTTTCTTCTCCCATTTCATCTCCCCCAACTTCTCTGTAAAATGCAGGGAATGCAATCTAAACCAAAGTCTCAGCCACCCCCTTATTCCAAGCAGCAACCAAGACTTCAGCTGGATCATCTAGCACAGGTGGCCCCAAACTTGACAACATAGCTGGCTGGAGAATTCTGGGAGTTGAAGTCCACAAGTCTTAAAGTTGCCAAGTTTGAAGACCTCTGATCTAGCAGGCCAGGAGAAACAGTCCCAGGCTCTTTCTGAAACTTCTCTAGCTCCATCAGTTGCTGGGGGTGGACCAATATAATGTTCAGATTTCTTGCAGTGGATAGTGGCACCAGAGAGTCTCATAATAATTAGGTCATGATTTGAAAATGACAAGGGGGACACCAACAGCTCTGTTTGTACTTTCTAATGAAAAGCACATTGTGTCACCAAATCTAATTTAAGTACTGATCAAGGGAATGCTAACCATCTTCCTCCTACATTACAATTCAATCAAAATTCCTCCTAGAACTACTCTTGATCTTTGATCAACAACTGCTTCCTCTTGAAATAAACCATAGCTTTAATCTTGATGATAGAAGCAATCTCATCAGGACCAAATTGTATCAATTGCAAATATGCATAACAACTAATTTAATTTTACCTTGTACTGCCTTTCTGACTTCCAGAAATAACTTTAGGATAAGTCAAATATTTTCAGTTACATGATTCTGAGAACTAAACAGACCAACATGTGTCCAGATCATGTCCCATTAGGGATTTTAAGATTCTACTGAAACAGAATATGGGTGAGCTACTTCAGACGTTCCATGCCAAGATGAATGACAGCAGGAATAAAGTCTGACTCATACTCATTCTACTCCAGAAAAGAAGTTACCTTTACTTTTTAAAATGCATGACAAGCTGGGACATTTTTCCTCACTTTGCTGAACCACTGAAAATGCTAGCACACTTAAAGCAATACCACATTCTCTACAATACATTGAGGCTTCTTGCCCATCATGTCCTGGACTGGCCATGGGATATTACAGCCACATGATCAGTCTATGGAACATCAGAGGAAATGGCCTCTGCAAAGACCTTAGAACAGGGGTATCAAATTGGCATCATGCACAGGCCACATCCACCCCAGCTCCACGAATGGGAAAAACATAGCAAAGCATCATGTGACGGCAATGTGACGCAGCGAGTTTGACACCGGTGCCCTAGAACTATTGAGAGCATACCAGTTTCTAAAGTTTGACAAAGCTGAAACCAAGTATAGTTCCATTGCATACATTAAAAAAAACAACAATTCACATCTGCCCTGGAAAATATATCAGCCTAGTTTAATAAAAAATAAAGCCTGGAAATCTGTCTTCCAAAGGAGTAATGGCTGTAACCTAGCCCGCTCCTCCCTTTTTATAACAGAGCTAATGGTCCTTAGTCCCTTATTTGCTATGCAACCCATTGAGTTGAAGTGTTCCTTTTTCCATTGATCATCCAAGTGCTCTTCAACAAAACATTTTAGAAACTCAAATATTCCATAGCCTTCAATTGCTTTCATTTCCTGTTTCCCTAGAGATAATAGAATACTTCAGAGCTGCCAGATGCTATTGACTTAAGTCACAGTAATCACAGCAAGCTGTTGAGGAGAGACAGACAATATTTTTGTTAGCAGCAAATGATTAAATGTGACTATTCTCTTAATCAAACCACTCAACAACTATGTTTAATAAATAACACAGACCTTAGGATATGGGATTTTAATGGTCTTTGGATATTGCAGCGTATCTTCTGAATAAAACGAATACTCAATAACAGGAACTTCTGTGTCATTAATCTCTGCAAACGCCAAAAACCTGCCATTTGGAGACCACCACAGAGCAGAATGGGTGCCAAACATTTCCTCTGAAAAAGATGCAAATGTGTTCTTTTGAAGCAATAGTTGCTAAGTTGGCTTTTTCCTCTGAAACATTGTTCATAATAACTTGCATGTATAATTTCAGATGAAACTTCAATTACTAAAATTCAGATTACTTGCAATGTTTAGCAACCAAAACAGTAAGTCAAATCTCAGAAATGCTTTTTTTTTTTTTTAGAAATACGGTGCTATGGGAATATTCTGTTATAAAAATCTGGCTTTAATAATGATGCAAATTCTAGTATTTTGATTTATCTCAGCTTTCAATATTACAGATAATTGTTTTTTGTTTATACTATAACATTTTCAAATATATCATCTATAATGAACAATAATTAAATGCAAAGAAACTTAAGTTTCTCATTATGTACCCAAACTTAGTATCCCTCTGGAAGAAAATATACAAGTACAAATTAAACATTCCCTGAATATTTTATGTCTAAAAAGGCACTTTAATAAGTGCAATTACTTGGGCTGTCTTGGAGACGATAATAAAAATATAAATGTTGAAGACTTCCTAATTTCTTTATGAAGAGAAGTACATTTATATAACTTCTTTTTCCAATCATTCATTACTAAAAATTATATTAATATAAAGTAGAGTGAGCAAAACCTGTATGCAAGAAGCTTGTTTAATGAATCAAAAGGAATGGTTGATAATTCATACAGAAACATAATAAAATATATAGATCCACTTTCTAATAGCTTGGAGGATTTTCAATGCACTAGATTTGCAGACAGAAACTTTATTTTGGTCATTTTAATATATTAATATATTAGTAATATATTAATATATTAATTTAGTATAATCTAGTAAAGATTATACTAGATTAATATATTAGTATATTAGTATATAAATTAATCTAATATATTCGAGAATTGGAATATTTATTTGTTTATTAATTTACACATCTTGACTGTAATACTATCATAGTTCTAACATAAGAGAATAGAATAGAATTCTATATTGGCCAAATGTGATTGGACGCACAAGTAATTTGTCTTCGTGTATACAAGAAATATAAAATGACTACTAAGAATTCCTCCATTAATTTTTGAACATTACAAATACATTTTATGTATTTTAGGGGTCTTTAGGGGTCAACATTTAGCAAAGGAATATTCAACTATTTTGCAAATATCCTTTGGGTAATCTTTGTGATTTAAAAATCAGTTTTTGGTTCTTTCCCTAGAGACAGACAGTGGAAGAGTTTGGAAAACTCTTTCATTAACCTACAGCTGTTGCTATTAAAATATAACACAAAAATACTTTAATGTAGTTTAGATAGGATATCTAGTGAAATTTTAATTCAGTGGGGATTAAGCAAAGATATGCCATGCCTTTCCTTCTGTTTAACTTCTGTAACAATATTATAAAAAGCTACCTAATTATAAAAAAACAACAATGGGTACAGCAATAATTTTCCTCTAGTATATGGGTGATGTGCCAATTCTCTCAACAAATACAGTAGGCCTAAGAAGTCAGATTCAAGTTTCTGCCACTTTCTGTGAGGTAGAACACCTAACAGGAAATCATCAAAAAAAAATGTAGATGAGGAATAAATGGGAATGGGTAATTAATGGAATGCAACACTTTGACACTTCAGGGGTGTCAATCTCACGTCATCATGTGATGTATCGGGACTTCCCCCCACTCGCTATACTGAGCACCTGGCCTTCTTGGTGTTAGTGGTTGGGGATATTTGATCGTATCCCTATTTGATCAATATGCTTGGTCACATAAGCTAGAAGTGGAACTGTGCACTGATGATGCAATCTAGTTTGGTAATGAAATGTCTGCAAGAAAACAACCAAGCTCAGAGAGCACCAAGGACCCCACAGTTTAACCTTGAGCTATAAATATTCTTTTCTATTAGTAGAAGAAGAATCAATCCTCAAATACTATGATACTCATTCTATGAAAGGTTTTGGCCAATTTATGTTGATTATTTTATAGAAAAATTAGAAAGAAGAATCTTTAGTCAAAAAAATGTCAACAATGTTAAATTTGATCTCTTGGTTATGTATATTGCTTAGGCAGGAGGTTGAACTACATATATGTGACACAAACTATGAATAATATTGTAATAATAAAAATAACACTATATTCCTTGTGAAACATTCAGCTGTAGTGAGGATGTAACCTTAGAGAAAGACAGCAAAGTAAAAATGTATCTATAACCACTATCAATAAGATTGGAAGCTGCTTCTTTAATCATCTCCCTTTTCTTCTTCCATTATTTACTATTTTTATTATCTTTATTTCCTTTTTGGATTATACTTCATTAAACATTTCTTTAATAAAAAATGGTATTCAAAGTTCACCTGTGGTTTACCATACATATATTTCTTTTGGTCACCTACTTTGATTGCAATACTTCTGCCTGATTCTGGATTGTGTTGTTGTTATTATCTCGGGGGGTGGGGTGGGGGAACCAAGATGAAGAGTGATTTTCTACTGCCTGGAAGCATATGTACTTTTGAATCTCTACCCATCAATCATATGTGAATGAAAGAGCAAAGAGGAGGAGGTAAAATATGAGACTAAGGCTTGTTTAATATATCCACCTAAGCCAATACACAGTTATTACCAAAATACAGCTATTATCAAGCCAAGACATATTTCACAAGCCATTTGGAAGGGAACTTTCCCAAATAAAGAATACACTATGCTGGATTTGCTGCTTTGAACACTGAGGCAGCCATATTTCTGAAAGGTATCAACACTTTAAGGCTCTTTCTTGGTCTTCTGAGGCCACTTCATCCTTGTCCAGATAACAATTTCATGGGGATTGTTTCTGAAGCGAAGTATCTCCTCAGAAGAATTTAAAGGGGGATTTGAAAGCTAGAAAGGGTTATGTGCCTCAAAGATGGAGTTGCCACTCCCCACTTTGTTCCAAGCAGTGGATTCAAAAGAAATATTTTATTTCTGTATGTGATAGCAGTTAAGTTGCTTTTAAGGAGTCCCCCCTTTCAATGACAATTACCTTCATACACCCAGTCTGCTAATCCATTTAAAATTTTGTTTTCAGCTCCATTGTCAGTGATTTCAACAGCGCTGGCGTTTGGTGTTGTCTTCACATAAAGATTGTTCTGGTAAACATAAGCCTGCCATAAACAAACATTACAGTATTTACCAGCAGAAAATGATTTTATAACCTTTACTTTATATCCAACAAATTACATTTATGGTACTTTCATTTCCTATATTTCTACAAACATCAACTCTAAAGTGGAGGTTCTGTTTTACACTGTAAAGCTAGAAAGCTGTACAGCTTTCTTTACTGTAAATCTAGAAACTGTAAGATTCTTCTCACCCACCTAAATACAGAAAATTGAATTTCTTTTACCCTTGTTATTTTCAGAATAAAGAAAAAATCAGAATGGTTTACAAGAAAGACCTAGAATGTTACATTTTGTCTAATTAATCCTGAGAAAACTTAATATTGCTTTACCCAATTTCCTATACATTAAAATATTGGTTCTCTTTCCATTAATTTGTTGCATTTGCCCCTTAAGTATTATAAAATAACTTTACAGTATGATGTTTAGATATAAGATTCCATATTTCCAAGATCAGGTCTCTTCTCCCCTCTCCTTCTATTACCCATTCAACTAGTAGCTAGTAGATTTTTTTCTGTCAATATGTCATGCCATTGAGAGCTAAACACATGATAACAATTTAGCATGCAACTATCTTATCATTATTTTAAACCTAGAAAGTTTGTGAATTAAAGTCCAATTCAGATCAAATTCACTCTGATTAAGCTGGAAAATCAGGTTTATGCTTTCACAAATTGTGATTTTAAAAAATTTGTATGTGACAACTTTTAGAATAAGGAACCAAGAGTGAATTAAACCCCCCCCCCAAAAAAAAGTGGCCTCACTTTGAACTGGGCCTATATACATTTACTATAAAGTTTAATATATATGACACTAGTTCTTTGTATATTTAACATTCAATCTGATAAAATGAACTGAAGTCCTTATGTAAATATTCTGGAACATCCCTGTCCCCTCTTACATTTCCAGAAATTTCTGTTGCGTGTATGGTGCAGTTTGGATTATAGAAATGGTGCACAGGAATATCTGAATTGGTGTTACAAGGAATACTTAGTTACATAGGGTTTTACTTAGGAAGTAAAACCCCATGTATTTTACTAACCAGCTTGTGTCCAACTGGCGACCATGATATATACTGGATAGTTGTAGGAAGTGGGTTCTCAGCGATTATGGTTCTATGAAGAAACATAAATAAAATTATCAATATAATGTAAGCCATTGAAACATCATGAAAAGACAATGCAGTTACTTACTTGTTGTTTAGATCATAGATATGGTACGATGCCGTGTATGAGTGCCTCCACACCTGTAAAAATAATATTTGCATATAAAGAAAAACACTTAAAAACATGTGTGGTTCAAAATATATTTTAAAAGTCCTGTTTGCATGAATTTTACCCATATACTTTTTAGTGGTCATAAAATCATGATAAACAAAATTCAACTTTAACTCAGACCTCTTGATACCTTCTAGAAATGAAGACTTCAGATAATAAATATCAGTCCTAGTATATGGCTACAATATAGTATGTAATATTTAGTTATACTGCTAAACTGTAATTTATTATGACATTTAAAAAAACCTTCAAGATTAAGGGTTATCTTTTCCCTTATCACAAACACATTGAGGTCATTTCTACACTACTCTGGCTGAGAAATTCTGAGAGTTAAGTCCATAAGTCTTAAAGTTGCAAAGTTTTGAGACCTTTGTTGTAAAGGGTTAAAACCACTTTTATCAATACAAATATACTAAGTGGAGTATAAAAGCATAATATTGTTGCTACCTTCTCATAATTGTATCGCAGAAGAGCAAATTTTTTGTCAGGTGACAATATTGCCTCAGAACTATTGAAATTGTCCTGTAGATAAAACATAATAAATTAGTAATAAAACATTGTGTGTAAGGAAGGAAATATTCAGTTCAGAACACTTTTGAATTGATGAAGTAGCATTAAAAAAACGTACTAATGTGTCATTTGATAAAATTATAGACGCTTTTCCATCATCAATGTTGTACAGAAAAACATTGTTCTGGTTTGTGTAGACATACTCATGACCTAAAAAGGGAAGAAAAAGAGGAAAACTTTCAGTGCCAATAAACAAAACCTTATCTTCCACCACACAAAGTCAATAAAAAAATCCTGAATTATTTATTAAGTTCATTGTCATAACAGTCTGTTTATCATGTATGAATTCAAACTAGAGAACACTTTATTTTTCAATTGACTATTATGTGGTTGGAGAATAATCTACACAAATGAATTCTGGCACTCCATGTTTATGAAGTAGAGTTTATGAAAAATGAAGTGGGAATGTTGGGGCAAAAATGATTTAATTAGTTGGCTAGGACACCTCCCATCTACAATAAAGGAAGTATTTAGAGATGCTGCCTTAGCTATAACCATGGTAGACTGATTTACTTACCACATTTATACCCTGCCACCAAGTTTTAGGAAACTCACATAAAATTAAATATCTAAAACAGTACATTTTAACAATAAGTTAAACCCCGGGAACTAAGCTTATAATAATCACAACTAAAATGTTAAAAGCCACCCTGCCTTGCATCCAGCCCCAGTTGCAAAAGCTTGGTGGAAATGCCAGGTTTTCATTGCTTTCCAGAATGTTAAGCAGATCTCCACAGATCTCAAGGGGGAGAGTGCTTCAAAGAATCATGGGGGGGGGGGACTGTCTCTGGGTTCTTCCTGCTTTCCCAATCACCCAGAGGGAACAGATCCATAACATCCCTTCCAGAGTTAATCAAATAGTGCTGGAGTTGAAACAGTTCTATTTAGAAGACAGAATCATATATAGGTAGTCTGGATCCAAGCAATCCAACGCTTCACTGACCAATATAGTCCTCTGAATTTACTTGTGAACATATTAGTAAGCTGTCAATCCTGAAGTGAACCTGGCTGATGCCATCTTGGAGGCTTCAGAGTTGCCACACATCAGAGGGAGGGGGGAATAGTTAGATGGGGGTCTTGTAGCCAAAACAAGAAAGTTTTCCTGTCAGAACCAAGGATGTTCTCACAAGTGGCCCGCCAGAGGAGCAGGGAAGTAACCAAGCAACCAGCCAGCACCTGGATTGGACAGCATGACCAGTGACTTGTGGGAAAAGGGGAAACGTTTACTTTTAATTAGGTGAAAGCTGTGGGAAATTTCAGAGTTGGCTTTCATCAGTTGTGTCAATATGATGTATCCAATAAACTGTTCTTTGAGGAACTTGCCTGCCCTGGAATTCTGTTTCCTATGGATGCATTACTTGGAACGCTAACATAAGCAATGTACTGACTACAGTATAGGTGTCCCATTGTCTCAAATGCCAGAAATGACTACAATTTCGGGATAATCTTCAAATGCTGTCCAGTGTATAATAAAAGTATATATCACTGTTGCTAGGGGTTCTCACTGAAAAAATGGATACAATCAAATTTGGATAAAAACTCAGCCCAAGGAGGTTGGCTGCCAATGAGAAGTAAAAACAGCGTTCAATTGGCTCAAATATTTCTCAGATGAATTTTGTATGTAGTTAGTCACATTAGTGATCAGTTAGCTGATCACTGCCAGAAAGCTTTAAGAAAGAATGTACAATTTTTTACGATTTGTCCAACATACATTTATAAAAAAAATGAAACCACTCCAGGGCATTCCAAAAGTTTAGAATCATTACCTGACATCCACCGTACATTAAATGATTTATACTGAAATTCATTACTCAGATAATCCTCCAAAGAAAATTTTATGCGGATATCGGCATCTGTTAACAAAGAAAGAAAGAAAAAGTAAGGTTCACCTTGAAGGATGCGATCACTCTATTGTAGCAGAATGGGACAACTGAGCCCAGCCAACTTGCTGCAGTCAACTCACCACGGCCAACTTAACATAGCCAACTTGCTATGGACAACTTACCATGGCCAATTCGCCACAAGACAACTCATCACAGCTAATTCACCATGGGACAACGTACCATGTGACAATTTAACAATTCAATTATTTAAAATAAGTTAAAAATTATTTTAAGTTTTGTCATTCACATTTCATTCTGTGCATCCTTTTGCATCCTTTCTTTAATGATTCTATGTCACAAATTCTTTGTTCACTATTGTAACTCTTGTCCCGCAGGAATACTGAATTATCCTTCTTCCATTTGATGTTTCTGAAATAATAAGGCATTTAATTTCTTTTTGCTAAGGAATCTCTTTATGCTGTTTTATCAATCTGAAGGTGGCTTTTCACTCAATTTCCCATGAGAGGCTTTGCTAAAAATTAGCAGCTTCATCGACTGCATGGATCTAATAATAGCTTTTGTTGTACCATGTTATTTATGCATGCATAAAATAAAAATTGCAGTATTGCATTCTGACTTTCTTTTATATTATTAATTCTCATCTTATAGTAATTTAAAAATAAAATAAAATCCAATTCTATTAAATGGACAAGAAAGAATATACAAACAGGTATTGCAGAAAAAAAAGTGTGAGGAAGCCAGCTGTAGACATGAGCTCTGAGAAATAAAGTTGCCTATAAATTCAAAGCATTATGTATAGATAACAAAGTCCATGGCTTATTGGCATAATTAATTGTAACCCTATCTATATTTTCTATGAAAAAGGATCTAAAGGTAGTCCTTAGCTTAGGACCACAATTGGGGCTAGAATTTCAGTCACTAAGTGATGCTAAGCTGTTAAGCAAGTTGAACCTGATTTTATAACCATTTTTACCATGGCCATAAGTGATTAACCATGGTCATTAAGTGAATCTGGATTCACCAATTGGCTTTGCTTGTCAGAAGCCAGATGAAAGGTCAGAAATCATGATCACATGACTGTACAATGTTGCAACTATTGTAAATGGAATAACCAAATTGCAATAGGCCCAGGATACCTGCAAGACCACCTACTGCCACCAGTAGCATCCCACCGTCCAGTGCGATCCCACAGAGTTGGCCTCCTCAGGGTGCTGTCAGCCAGCAGTGGCTAGCGACCCCCAGGGGATGACCCTTCTCTGTGGGAGCGCCTTCCCTCTGGAATGAGCTGCCCACGGAGCTTCGCATAATCCCTGACCTCTGGTCCTTCCGACGCGCCCTAAAAAGTTGGCTTTTCCAGCAAGCCAGCCTGACCTGAATAGAATAAA